CACGCTAGACTCTAAAGCCTCAAAACCCTAAACCCTAAACCCCTAAACCCTAATTACACGCTAGACTCTAAAGCCTCAAAACCCTAAACCCTAAACCCTAAACCCCTGAACCCTAAACCCTAAACCCTCAAATGCCCGTCCGAGTCTCTGTAGTGGCCCGGGCATCACCTTTCGACAGAGCTTGCACCAACGCCCGGAAGACGGAAGATGGATAGCTGCCTGTGGCTTAGGGTTTAGGTTTAGGGTTTAGGGTCTAGTTTGGGGTTGGGGTTTGGGGTTTAGGGTCTCGGGTGTAGGGTCTAGGGTCTAGTTTGGGGTTTGGGATTTAGGGTTTAGGGTCTAGGGTTTAGGGTCTAGGGTCTAGTTTGGGGTTTCGGGTTCAGGGTATAGGGTCTGGTTTGAGGTTTGGGGTCGAGGGTTTAGGGTCTACGGTGTGTACACCCTAAACCCTACAACGCTGAACCCTAAACCTAAAACCCTAAACCCTGTATCCCTGAGGGTCCATGTACCCAAATAGATTGTACTTTGGCCTTACAGTAGTCCCTATTTGGGTACTTTGGGGCCAAAGTATCTACTATTAATTAGGGTATTATAGCATAAATTGTATGTGGAAGCTGCTTGAGGGCTCAGGGTTTCGATACATGGGTAGTTCTCTGAATGAGAGCCCTTTTTCAGGTCCCCAATCTGGTACGGCACTTGCAATACGGCACCCTTACAAAAAGGGCCCCTAAGGATTTAGGGACCCTAAACCCTAAACCCTGAACCCTACATCATAAACCCTAAACCCTAAACCCTAAGCCCTAAACCCTGAACCCGAAACCCTGAACCTTAAACCCGTGGGGAGCCTGAAGGGATGATGTTGGCAATCAGTCAGGCATGAAGAAAGGACCATTCCCCTATAATTGCCATGCCTCCAGCATGGACAATGCTGGTGTGAGTCTGAGCGACGTTTGTGTCACTAGTGACTGGGACTATGGTCAGGCCACCCAAGGCAGGGACCGTGTTGGCTCGGGTGTTGGGACCGACTTTGACCACACCTTTACCGGCAGCCCCGCGAAAGATGGGCTGACCAGTTCCGCCTGGCACCACATTTTCAAGCGGTGCATTGGCCACTAGCCCCAAATCATAAAGGCTCTGGGCCATAGCTGCCGCTCGGAAGTACAGCAGAGTGTTGCACGGCCTGCTGGATGTAGACACGGCGTTGCCCGAAATCAGCTGATACTGGTTGGCCTGAACCATAGGAATGCGCTTGCCGAGTGTTCGGTAGATGCTGCTTCCATCAGCATCATTGGTGTTGGAGAGCAGAAAGGCATATGCTTCATCGGGCACGAGGAGCCCTCTGGCCCAATACTTGGGACCAGCGACATGGATGACGCAGGGGCAGTGGTATAAAACCGCCAGCTCCATGAGTCTGACATCAATGAACGCTTCCACCTGCCTCGCCTCAAGAGCGTCCTCCCATGAATCCCTGTAAGTCGAGAAGGGGTATTCGCAGGCCCAATCGTCATACGGTCTATTGGGAGCGGGAGGCCTTCGAGTAATAGGAGGCGGCAATTCACGGTGGCGACCACCTCTTGAACTGAGGTAGGCCTCTAGGCCATAGAGATCCCCAGGTAGCGACTTTTCTTTATAACAAATCCTAACCATACAACTAGGTACCTTAAAAAGGGGGTAGGGTATGACCCTTTAGGTATACTGTGCCCCATCCCTCGTCTAAGGCCCCATCTCGGAGTTGTTTCCGCTGTCTGCCATGTTTTTGTGGCTTGGATCTTGAGTTCGGATTCTATTCCTTGGTCATAGTTGGGTATCGCTCTATAATTCTACAGGTACTGAAGCTCAGTAAGCAATAGGAACTCAAGGGTTTAATACTATCCCAAGATATCCCAAGCATGAACCAGTAACTAGATTCTCTCTGTGTTTGTGTGCAGACCCAGCGAAGCTGCATCTCAGTCTCGAGCCCAGCATTTAGCATTGAGGGGTTTGGGGTGTCGGGTTTGGGTCGAGACTTGGATTTTTTTTGGGGGTTTAGGGCAGTTTCGGGTTGTTAGCTGAGTGCCGGATCTAGGGTTGCAACGATGGTGCCCTTAGACATCCCCCGGGGTCATGGTCTAAGAGAAGGAGACCAAAAGGCAAATTGAAACCGAACATGAAGCTGCTGAGATGAAGGCAAGGCAGGGTTTATGTTCAGTTGAGGCTCGGGGATGCGAGTTTGGTGTTTCAGGGTCAAGGACCCTTGCACCTACTGAGGCGCCGGAGATATGGCACCACCATCGTAAAGGCCATTGACACTTGTCACGATGGTTCTTGTCGATGTTCTGTTGCAGTCATCTTCCTTGAAGGATCAGGGAATCTTATTAAGCGGTTCATGGATTTTGGGGGGCTTTAATTAATGGCCCTGGCCGTGGCCAGTTGATCTTGTCTCAACACTCTTTATCATATGTATTTAAACCCTATACTTTTCGCGGAAAATTGGCCAATTCCCTGTTCTTTTCCACGAAAATGGCCACAACACCGGAATTTTCCACGAAAGTGGCCACCTCGGTCCGGATTTTTCCGCGAAAATGGCCACCAACCCCGGAATTTTCCACGAACCCCCGGGATTTTCCACGAAGGTGGCCCCCCCCCCCCCCCCCCCCGGATTTTCCACCAAAATGGCCACTAACCCCGGAATTTTCCGCGAAGGTGGCCACCCCCCTTTCCGCGAAGATGGCCACTAACCCTGGAATTTCCACGAAGGTGGCCACCCCCTCCCTAAACCCCTGGACTGCGTAGCTCGTCAAAATAAGTTCCCAAACGACCGCGCCTGTTTTGGAGTTTCAAGGAGGCACAAACCCAGCTTTTCGGCTCGAGAAGGAGGGTTTGGGCCAGAAGAGCCCTGATCTCACCCAAACCCATGCTTTCAGCCAGCTTGTAGTGTCCTTAAAGTTCACAACGCTTTTCAGAAACTTCCGGGTGGATGTTCGCGTTACAAGCTTGTAATGGCCTTGAAGTTCACGATGCTACATTATAAAGATACAGAAATTTCCGGGTGGACATTCGCGTAACAAGCTTGTAGTGACCTCAAAGCTCACAACGCTTACAATGCCAAGATGCAGAAATTTCCGGGTGGATGTTCGCGTTACAAAGTTGTAGTGTTCTTATTATGCACAACGTCTACAATAAACATACAGAAATTTGAGGGTGGACGTTCGCACTACAAGCATATAGCATCCTTAAAGTTCACAACACCTACAATACTAAGATACAGAACTTCTAAATATCAAAGGGTCTTACCACAAGAAATGAAAGACTTTGTTCCTTGAATCCATTAAGTAGTTCCACGAAGGTTGCCAGTTTGAATTATTCTTACAAAGTTTCGGCCTTCAGGGTTTGGTATTTAGAGCTCTAGGCTGGCCTTTAGAGTTTAGGAACAAAGGTCTGAAAACAAAAAGAGGATTCGGCAGTGTATAGTGGGAAAGAACTGCAGCTGTAAATATGAAATGAAACTTTGTATTTCTCAATGTTGTGGGAATCGAGGGTGGGTGGGCTTTATATCTAGATCGTGAATGTTACTTAACTGTAAAACTGCTCGACCCGGAGCTGCTGAACCCTAAACCCTAAACCCCGAACCGTAAGTGTTCAGGGTCTGGCGTTTTCGAGCGAGGGTCTGGGCCTGGGGCTCTCCAGGACTTGAACCTGGACGGTGGAGTTAGGCGGTTGTCGTAGTCTTAGGGTTCAGGGCTTCAGGTTTATCAACGAGTTCCTCCACCCTAAAACCCTAAACCCTAAAACCTTACAGCCCTAAACCCCCCCTAAACCCCAAAACCCTAAACCCTAAAATGTATTTTATTCATGTGTTTATTCATTTATTTGTTTTATGTCTTTTTCATATTATCTCATTGTATACTAGTAGATACTTTGATATAGTATGACTATGATCTACTTGTAGAGGCAATGCGAGGCGGTGTGACTCCTTGCTTGGCTTTCGGGCTGCGAGGGTTCCGGGTTGAGCTCTGAGGAGTTATTTGGAGGCCCAGAAGACTTGGTAAGTAGGTTGTAAGTAGAGTTATAAGTACCCTACATGGAGTTACTCTCATTATAATCCTACTTATGACTTATAACCGAATTACTAAGTCCCCTGGGCCTCCAAGTATTCAGCGTTGAGAGTCCAAGGCCCCAGGATTGGGGCAAGCCCATTCTCCGCCAGCACTGAATGTAGGCGCTGCCAACCCGAAATCCAAATTTAAGGGGGCGGGGGGGGAGGGGGGGGGGG